TTTTTGAAAATTTACACAAGAATCCATAGTTCACTTACAACATTGTACAACATACTGGTAACTATCATTCACAAGCAGCGTTATTCAGATGTCCCCTCCAATTATGATAAATCATAGATAGAAGATGAACTATAAAATCGTAAATCATGATACAAATGAGGTCAGGGAAATTGAAAGCAAAAATGAAAAATCGTCGTTTTTGATTTAAACATCATGTACCTCTAATGCAAAAATAATATCGGTGTACTTTTCGCCAATATATCTCATGATAAGTATCATATCACAGTAGCAGTCTCTGTAATAGAATCTGTAATGGAAATCATTAGTCAAGTACACCTAACGGATTTTTCAACGCAATTTCGGTGTTCTTAATTTCTGACTTGTTCTGACCCACAAAATCTTCCTGATCTCATTTATGTCCTTATTTACAACCAATCCTATATGCGTACATAACACACAGATATATCCTTTTCAGCAGTTGCTATTCTTCTTCAAAAAGTGAAAATAGTTTTCAAAAATGAAGCTATGTATAATATATTTTACGTTCTCTTTTCGACGCGTGAAATTTAGAAAATTCTTATTTATAAATTTATGATCAAAAACATACGAAAGGTATGTTAAATAATTCCATAATTATTCTATAATTAATAGTTTCCGCTGTATTTAATTTTTGTATTATTTTATTACCAACGCAAAGCCATGTTGGAGGAGCAATAAACGGGAATAAATTTTTTTCCAGATAGCTTTTAAACAGTAGCAAACGTATTATTTCTCTTTCCTCTAGACGTAATCGCAGACATTAAATTTATAACGAAATGCTAATTTCGAAAAACATCTTGAACCATTTTAGAACAATATTATACACTCTTGTCGTGATAATTCGTTTTCATTTTACATTACGATAATTATATTTATGGTATTATGATTATTTGTCTGTAGCGTTGTTGTTAGATTCGGGAGACAGTGAAAAATCGGAAGCAATTTGTACTACTAACATGACGACTCGTCAATTTCTATATCTACTATAAACTTAATTTGTTCCGCATAAGTGTATTATTTTTACTGTTGCTACATACAACTTCGATATAATATAATTTTTGAACAATACGATAGTAATTAGTAAAGTAAATGATGTAAGTAAAAAACAATCACTTATGCATAACAAATAACAAACATTACTATCGGTGTATATAGTTCATACATTTTTTCCATCTTTGGCATTTACGCTAAGAAATCTATATGAAAAGTTGCAAAGTCCTCTACTGTACACAATAACTTAAATAACTGCAGCTGAAGAATGATAATCATACATTTTTTTATACTAGCTAACATGCACAGTTTTGCACCATTAGCAATTGGGTTGAAAGCTGTTTGGTCTTTTCTTAATTACACACGTGACAATATAAATTCGTTGGGATCCTCAAACGCAGTATATTTGCAGTTGTAACTTACAAATTATAAAACTGGTTATAAATTTCTATTAA